TTTTGTGTATAATTATTACAGATTTTTATATTGATTTTTAGTTTTTCTTCTTCGCTCATTCTTGTGAAATTTCTCTTTAACAACATATACTCATTGCTATTTGTTCTCGATGTTCTCTTCCTGCATTATTTCTGCCCGCAGCTCGGAAATGTATGTCCTATATCTCAGAACGGGTTCTTTCTGTCGATTTATTCATTATACGTCATCGTGCAATCTTTTGTATATATTAAAAAAACCCGGTATTATTCGCTAATTTCTCCGTGCTACTAGTTTGTTTTTGCGCGATCGAAATCTATCGACTTTTAAAAACGGTTTTCACCGCTCTTAAATGAGAATAACAACGTCATTACTTAGAAATGTCTAAGTAAAAGCGTAGATTTATGATTACATTATCAATTATATGATGGTATAGTACGGATTAGAAAATAGTTGAAATGTACGAAATTAATAAAATTATAATATAATTATATACACAAATGTCAAAGATTAGAATAATGACGGAAATAATTCGAAATAATGATAAGATATAAATGTGCTGCAATTTCTTCTATTCTGATATAATTATAATAATTTTTTAAATCAATAGAAAATTACGTACATTCTCCTCTTTAGATTATTTCTCTCTCAGTTTTCCTAAGTTTCAACATTTCTGTAAAACCACAAAATCCGATCGATTACAATCTTGTTTTTCTTTTATAAATATTACAGATTTTGATTGTGATAGTCGATTTGAAACAATTCAAAGCATTTCGCGCGTTTCTTGCATTTATAATTGAAATTTATTGCTCAATGTGATGGCTTTGTTTAGTTGCTTGACAAAGAATGAGGTATAATTTATAAGTATAACAATTACATCGTGAAACTTTATCTCATCATCATTTTCGTAGTCCCTTCCTTTTTGTCAGCTATTCATCTAGAGTTAGGGCTTTTAGATGAGTTAATTATGAGACGCGCAGTTTTCAATTCGCATTCTAACATTTTATTTCGATTTTCCTTCCAGCCAGCGAATTATTATTATTATGGATTTCACTAAAATGTCGAGTTCTGAATACATTTCTTATTTGGACTAGATTAGACACTAATATAAATCGAGATTATCAACTAATATGCTAAGCGCATAAATTAGAAGATAGTGGTTGAAAGAATGAAGAAGAGGAAAATGTCGTTATTATTAACAACTTGAAAGTAATTGCCGCAATTCTCAAGTGCTTCAATGTCCTCGATTTGGATAAAAGCAATGATACGTTAACGCTCTTTCGAAATTCTGCAATCTCCGTTGGAGAGATCTTAGCCTTGACTAGCGCAAAATATCTTCAGAGTTTTACAGAGACACATATTGTGTCATATGAAATCGTGCGTTAATCTTTAGTGTAAATATGAGATTTATTTCTTTCGTCGCTTCAACACCTTTTGCATGCGATGATCATTCATCTCGGCAGAGAGAACGAAGCTTATATTATTATTTAATCAAATTACTTTATCATTCATCTTTATTCGTCTAAAATTTAATGCTGTAATAAACATTTCAGGGATACTATTAAAATTAATGAACTTGAAAGATGCTTACATAAATTAGCTTAAAACATTTTTTATTGATTTCTTTGTACATTAAAATTAATTTTTTAAAAGTTTTTGTCATAATATTTTATTTAAAAAATATTTATTTGATTTACATACATATAATATCTCTAAAGGAACAAACTAATTTATTAAGAAATTGATTATATTATATATAGAAACATATTATTAGATATAAACATAGATATAAATATATTAGATATAAATAGATATAAATATATTAGATATAATTCAATTATAAAAATTGTACACTGAAAACAAATTTCCATAAATTTCTATAAAAAAAGAAAAAAGATACTTTTTTTTTAAATCGGCCAAGTTGTTTTTACAAAACAAATTGGCATTTATGATGTTTTCGATTGGTAAAACGCATATTTATATTTTATGATTTATCCAAGATTGGAAGATTTTGCGATTCAAATGTATTCATTTAGAATGTAAAAACATTAGAATTCGTTAATAATCGTTTTTTTATGTTTATATTTAATTTATGCTGTACTATTATAAGACAATTCTTATCTTTATAATAAGAAAAAATCTTATTTTTTATATGATTAGATGTAAATATCAAGGTAAATATAGTCTATAAATATTTCGAAAAAGATATGGAAAATGATCATAATCATAGTTATTTAATTACGTATTTGAAAATAATAATTTCAGATAATTAGTTTATTTTTTTTTGTTATTTTGATCTTGCTCACTTTATTCGCTTCATGAAAGATATATTGTTATTAATGGTAATATAATAATGACTAATTCTCGTTTATTAGGATATCATTATTGTTCATTTAAGCAAAGACATAATATAATTATTCAATTATTAAGTATCAATTAAATGATTTGTGTGTGTATATATGATTTGCACACTTAATTTACCATATTCTGTATTATATATAATATTTAATATTATTTATGGATATTTTGTATACTTGTATGAATATTTGTGAATTACATAAAAATTAATTAATATATTTCTTGCTGCTCATTTTGTGAATCTAATTAGATTTGAATACTACAAATTGAGTCAAAGATTTTGTTAAAAAATTCTAGAATTTTTTGCATTACGTGCAACTTATATTTTATTTGATGTCGCTTCAAAAGGGCAGATTTCGTTTTCCTCGGATACGCGAAATCGCGTCGCTATTAAGAAACTGGCTCGAAAACGGTCCAGCGACCTTGTGCCGAATATTACGACGTGTTTCGAGACAGTTGTGTAATGTTACGCATTTCACGTGCCTGGACATACATACGTAGGGGTTACATTATAACAAGTAGTTGCTCATACAAAGCGAATGCACGTTCGTGTACACAGACCAGCGAGAAGATCTTTGCGAGACGAGCCAAATTTTTACAGAGCTCGAGAAAGGATCTTCTTTTCTATCATCTGTCGAAACAACATATATGCAGCATTTATAGTAGGATCAGACACTTTGAGTTAAAACAGCTGCGACATTTCTAATGTATATATTTTTCATCTTAGTTATGAAAAGTGCGCAGCTATTTTAAAGACTGTACATTTACATATTCAAATATTAAACAGACTGATAAATTGCGATCATTTATTTAATGAAATCTTGTTCTTTCTTTCTCTCTCTCTCAATATTCTTGTAGAATCTCTTTAAAGTAAATTTTTTCAGAAAAGCCTACATTTCTTAAACATTTGTATGTGTGTGTGTGTATAGATGCGATCAAATTTGACCCATTTTTTGATAGATACTTTATTAAAATATTATGGCAAAGAGAGAGAGAGAGATAGAGAGAGAGAGAGAGAGAGAGAGAGAGAGAGAGAGAGAGAGAGAGAGAGAGTTAATGTCAAAAATGATGAATGTGACATTTTTTCGAAGAACTTACTGTGATATGAGAATATACATGTGACACGGTGAAATTGTGCAGTTGCGTCGAAGAAAATTTACTTGGTCTACTTTATCAATATGAACAGGATATGATTTAAATAGCGAAGCGATAATTATTTTTGCAATAGTTTATGCGTTAATAAAATAATTGTAATTTTGCATTTTTAACTTTTTGTGTATATTTTCACAAAAATTTACTGAAATTTTTTGACGGAAATATTTGTCATCTCATATTAAAGTAATTGTTTCTATTTTTCGAAATTCATTTTAAAATCGATCGAAATTAACAAAACGTGATATCGATTAATATCCGGGAGAAAACCTTAATGTGCAAAATATATATTCTGACGGGCTAAAATATATTATATAATGAGTTGATGATATTGTCAATATTTAAATGTAGCTTTTGAATATTAATAAGCCTGGCATATAAAATATAAACGATTTAATCGATATTTATTGCATCATCGGTATTACAGTGCATGAAATTATTTTATTCGCTTTTTCGCTTTTTAATCGTTTTTTCTGTATTAAATCTGTAATTATTGATCTGGAATTATTCATCTTGTACTGGTTATATTGCGTTGAGAATAACGTATCTTCTCATAGTCTTACTGTCTGCCGTTATCGCAACACTGTTTTTTTAATTTTTAATATTAAGACTCGAGTCTGTGTGGAGGTTTCAAATTTTAGGAGATTTAGTAAGATTTTTTACTAATGATTATTATATATAATTGTAACGGTTCTTTACTTTTTGCGCAAATTTCTTCTTTTATTTTTTAGTCATTTTCTTATGTTTTGTGTATGTAATTTTTACTAGAGAGAAAGAAACCAAGTTGTCACACAACACACGTTGTGTGACTTCCTATATTCGAGATGCAATTACCATATTTTGAATTATAACACTTCGTGACTGAAGAGATGCAAGTAAGCATTGAAACGTCTCACTTTTAGTTGCTCTCTTAATAAGTGCGACTTATCGACATTTTTCTACTTTTTTGTTTTTTTTAACTGACCTATCATCCGCAGTTTAGCTCGTATTAGGCTGATTACTGTATCTATATTGTTTTTTAACTATAATTAGTTGATTCGTGAAACAGACATAGTAGGATGAATCCTTTATACGACATTAGCGTATTGCTCTACTATTTGATTTGTGGCCAGGTCACGCGTGCGATTTTGGATGTAGGATGCATATATGTGTTAACAACGATATCATATTTTCATTATTTGAGCAAAACATGTAAGATAATGGGAAAAAATTTTTCTGACACAGAATTTGTCTTCCTAGTCCGATATTGATAGTCTCGTATCATTATTTTGTCAAATTTCCTTCATCTTCTCTAATTTTCTAATGTGCAGCATACCTCAAAAGAATTTAAATGATGCACTCGAGGAGATGCGGACTCGTTAGAGATGCGGATTTTTGCAGTATAATTTTTTTCGCACGCGTACGTGCATCGATCCGTTTAAGGAATCGGCCCGATTTCTCGCGGCGGAAATTTGTTTCGGATTGTTCGCTCGCTCGCGTTCCACTCTCCACGGGATTTCCCAAAAACCGCTTACCTTCCGCTCACGGTCCGCCGGATTCGATTGTCGATCAGAAACTGGCCGGGCACTTCACCACTCCTGCTCTCTTGGCTACTTCGAAGTTACCCGAAGTTACCAATCTCTACGATGATTCAACGATGCTGCATCAAACCGAGCGACGCATCAAACGGATCATCGGAGACTCGCTCGTTCGACTTTCGCGCACTTCCCTCGAACCTGGTAAACGCGTCGTCGACCGATGCTACGAACACTGGTGATGGATACCGATCGCGAGGGGATCCCCTTCCGACGAGCAAAGGGTCGCGGAGACTCGGAGGGAGGCTTTCGTCACTCCGTCCACCGATCGCTCATGCGACTTTCCTTTTTCTCGCGGGGTCAAAAAAAAACACCTGTATGCGTGCAGGTAGCTACATATACTCCCACGATCGCATACGCGCGATCAGTGCTGATTCGCGCGGCGCACAATGATTAGTCCTAACAAAGGTCGTGAGGTCGCGCACTAAATTGAAACGCGTGTACGCGCGTGTACAGTGCGGATGTGCGCTTATGGGTCTAACCAGACGATGCTGCGAGAATAGTCTGCGGCACGGTAAGCCCGCGGTTTAAGTATTGGCTAACCCAAGTGGGGTTTAAGCGCGCGTGAGAGCGCAAGGAGGGGCTGCACCGATCGGGGCTCTACCAGGTGATCGTCTGCAAAATCCGCGCTCAGTCAAGGTCGCTTTTCAGGCGGCTGTGTCTGGAGGAGAAGAAAGGTGTTTCTTCTCGATGATGTCTCCGTATCACGGGCGCGACACCCTTCGGTCAAGGTCACATACCATTCGAAACACGCACCTCCGTTGAGAAACCGACGACGTCGAGGCCGATTCTAGAAACGGACTGGTATTCCCCAAAATCTATCGTCATTCATACTGGTTTTTTTTTTCGAAACGATCTTTCATATTTTCTTTTCTCGTAGATACGGTTTCTGGATATGCGATCGCTCTTATGGATTTCAATAGGATGAAAACGGATAAAATGTACATTTGATTAATTTCATTTTTTTGAAAAATTGATGTTACAGTGAAAGTTTGCTCGTATATAATTAATTCTACTTATCTTATAAAAGAGAATATTGAAGTAGTCGCAATTTTTCTAACGTAATTATATTTTTCATTAGTCTTATATATTTATTAATATAATATAAAATATGTTAAAATTAATAAAAGAAGTAAAAAGATATGGTATTTTGTATTATATTTGAAATCGTCAAAATATCAAAGTGCCAATAGTTTTAAATCTATAAGTTAATGAAAATAATAAATAAAGTCTTTCTTAATTAAATTTCGAAAACGAAGAGATTTCAATAAATGTGAAATAAATTCGATTCTAATAAAATTTTCATTTAATTGCTAAAGGTATTGAAATAAAAATATTATTAAAATTATTATTTCCTAGATATTATTGAAATAATTTCGATATTGACAAATACAGTGAAAAATTACGATTTTACTTTTGCAATGCATAACTAACATTTTTATTAGGAAGAAATATATCATCTTGAAAAGAAACGTAAAGAATGTATATTTTCTGCTTCTGTATATTATCTTGTATATTTTCTGCTAATTCTAGGATATTTTATATTTTGCAATTATGTATGTTAATCTAATAATAATCTACACACGATTAATGTATGTACAAACGTATGTTAGTAGACTTGTAAAAGCAAATTATCATAAAAAATAAGATAAAAGGATACAAAAAAATCATACAAAATATTAATATTAATATAAAAATATTATTAATACAAAATATTAATATAAAAATATTAAGTTTTCATAAATAATGATGATATTAGAAAAATCAGAAATAAAAAATATATATTAATAATGCATATTGGCGGTGTAATTATTAGATATTAAATAAGATTTCGCTATACCTTAATATTTTAATTCTAGAGTTCCTATTGATAAAATTATATTTTAGAGATTATTATGAGTGTTATTCCACTCTACAGCGTTTTGTTTTTCAATAATATCTTTCCATGACGTCTTTCTATTTGTTTCTCACAACAGATAGAGAATTATGTTTTTATAACATTTTATTTACATAAGAGTTTTTTTTCAAATTATTATTAATTGTAAGAGAAAAGACATTGGTATTAACAACAAGTAATCCTTATACGGCATGATACATCATTTTCTGCAATATATAATAGAGAGTACTTACAGACAAAAAATTGGTATAAAAAGTATATAAATATTACTTGGTTGTTTTGTTTTCTCTCTCTCACTAATTTATTTATATTCAAATTTATATGAAAAGAGTAATAAATATTACTTGATAGATGTCTGTTCAATATTTTTTATTTATATTCAATTATATATCCGATGATTAATGATTTAACAAATAATGTTTGAAGTCTCTCTTTGTTCATATAATTAATAATTGTATGGCAATATTATGCACTAATCTTATACGACATCTAATTAAAATAATTTATGAAATATGCAAAATTAATATACACATATGTATAAATTGAAAATATAATATACAAATTTTCATATATTAATAATCTAATTCCTTCTTAAATATTGAAAAAATCTATCATGAATCAAATGAAATGTATCCAATATTAGAGATTCTAACTGTTCTTGATTATATAAATTTTGATTAGAATACATTATCTAGTGTATAATTCTTAAGTAGACTTTGTACTGGTTATTCTTAAAATATATAAGAGTTATATGAATCATATATTTGACAGGATGAAGTAATCGACACTGAAACCAGATTTGATTTTTTAAGTGGATTTAAAATGAACTTTGCTTTAAAAGTCAACAGGTAAAGTATATAAGAGAAACGTTCATCACGTAACATTTCAAAGCTGAGATTGAATGTTCTTTTATCTCGGCAACACATCGATACACACAAAGCTAATTTTGAAAATTAATCATTTATCCTTGAATTTCGTCTAAAGAATCTATTGGCTGGTTTATATAATCTTTTCTTTTAAAATTACGATTTATAAAAATACAATATACAAAGCAATCGTAATTAAATCGCGCTCATCGGTGCTGTAAGAACAAATCGTGTAATTTGGACCGTGTACTATGGTTGACGTAACAGCATTAGAGCCAACAGTACTTAAATATATTTAATTAAAAATATATTTGAATTAATTTACATCACTAATTTAATTCTGAATTAATCTTGCTGTTTCACTCCGTACATTGAACTATTGCATCAATTTAATTTAAATTATATATATATATAAATTTAATTTATTACTATAGTTAATAATCTCCCAGTTATGTATTTATAGAGAAGAATTTCTTGTGATTTTTTTATTTTCAATGAAATAGCAGTATTTTTGAGACCTAAGAGGCATACCAATTCTTCAAACAACTCTTAGGCATTTTTAATGTATTTATATATATTAGATTTCTATATATTAGATATATTAGATTTTTATTTAAGTTTTTTTTGTATTGACATAAAATATAGTGTCACTTTGAACTCGTCTAATCGAAGAGAAGTTATATTTATAATCGATATACCGATCATTAAAAAAAAATTCATGCGTAATATACGAACCATTAAAAAAAAAAATTTATGCGTAATATACGAAAATAAAAAACTTGTTTACTCATTCTTTATACTTATATAATACAGTTGAAATAATAAAGTTAAAATAACAAAGTTAAAATAACAAACTAGTTTGAATAACAAAGTAATATAAATTTAACAAGAGAAAAAGTTACTTATAAGTTTATTATTATATTATATCATATTATACGCTTTTTGAATAAAAACGTAGCAAACTAAGAAAGATAATTATAAAATTTTTATAAAAATAACTTAATAATTTACATTTGTATTGATTGTTGCATAATCACGTGAAATATTCTTCAAATTTTTCGGGGGTTTTGCAATATATATTAACTTTCCAAATATATATATATATATATATATATATATATATATATATATATATAATATTACACGCATTCTCAAGGATGTACTCTAAAATATTCGCTAAAGTATCTGTCACTCGCTCTGTTAGCCACAAATACATTACACAATATTACACGTTTTATGACTTTCTTATACGCAATCAAGCATTCTTGATGCAACCTTGCATTAGGCAAATGTATTAGTGCAGATTAGATAAGTTGCGATTTCGATGATTTTTACTGAATAAACTATTATCAGGGATGATTAATATGCTAGTATAATATAATAAATAATACTTTGCACAATTGATAAATTGTTAAACTATTCTTTTAATGTTAGAGAAATCTATGTTGACGTTATCTTATATTACCAATTGCAATTTTTTAAAATGTTTTGCTTAATATTTTTTACATTAAAAATTTTTATGAGATATTTTTTCAATTATATCTTTCAAAATATACATTGCAAGCTTGCAAAGAATCTTGTAAGGAATTCGAGTAGTCAAAAATCAGATTGTGTATCTAGAATCGAATTTCGTAAGATCGAATTACAATGAAAAGAATAATAATTTGCTCGCGACGTAATGCAACGGTAAAAATTCCGATTTGTCAGCACATTACATATATAAGACGCATATATTACAGTTAAATGGTTGACGTCATTGTTGAGACAATTTCTGCAACTCAGCACTATTAATTAAAACGATAATAAAGATTATATAATAAATTAGATCATTCAATAAATATCTCAAAATTTCCATCTTGATTTATAATCATATAACATATCCAATGAATTTCGTAGAAAAAAATCAAATTCGCATATTTTAGGCTCTCAAACTTCAACGCAAAAAATTTTATTTTGAAGGACTTTATAAAGAGAAAATATTCCCTTATATATATGTATTTATTTATTTATCTATTATTGATATAAATAAAATTCATTAAAACTATGTAATTTATAAAAATTTATGTAGGTGGTAATTTACAGTTAATTTGTTGTTTTTGTTAATTATTTTTGTTTATCATATATATATAAAATATATAGCAGCCGGCTTAGCAAAACTTCTATTTTCCAAATATTTTTAAAAATATCTTTCAATCTTTTATATTAACTTCATTTATCGAGCTTCTTAGAAAGCGTTATAAATAATCGATTGATGATCCAATTTTTCCTTGCAAGATAATTTGTCACAGTTACGTATTATGATTTGTTCAACGAAAATGACGTACAATGTTTTTATACGTACGTTTTTATACGAACTATGTTGATATACAAGAAGTTCGGCATTTTTTTTAAATCACACATTATATTATATTGTTCATCTTTTTTTTATTTAGATATACCTAATTGTAAGTTTAAATACATTTATATTTTGATACATTTATAGATACATGATATTTTGTATATTTTATTGTTTTTAAGATAATGTTGCAGACTTTATGTTTCTATTTTTCAGAATATTTCTAGATGTATTCTTTACATTTACATAATAAGTAAGATTAATTTTATATTCAGTTTTTCTTTGAACAATTATCTTCTTGAAAAAATCATAACATAACACAAATCCATCATTCATTATGCGAAAAAAGAATTAATAAGTATTTTTGTTATGTTATGATAGAAAAAGATTGTTACGTCTCTAAAGTTGTAGCTGTAGAATATCCTCATTCTATGTAATATTGATTTTTCATAATTACATTCAAAACTAATAT